ATTTTATCAAAGATATGTATATTATTCTCAGAAGCAGATGTTTTCAGAATTAAAGAAACAGGCCGAAACATTGTCTTTATAACTAACAATCCTGATATATGCCTGCTTTCTTGATATGAAAAACATCTTCCTTTTCAATTTAGATTCCATATGAGCATACTAAAAGTAGTCATTTCTACTATTATTAATGTTGAAACAAAACTATGATGATGAATGTCTTAAACTGGTTCTTTACCTCTCTGACATTTTACCTTCAAATTCCAGTTTTTCTATATATCTTGATAAATTACAAAGGTCTTGTCTAATTGATAAAACTACTAAAATTGTTTCCACCTGTAAGGTTTATTCTAGAAATAGAAAAATGAAGAAAGAAGCACTTGTTTTTGATTTGACATGTTGCATACTTATGATAAATGAGTTTCTTTTACTGTGAAGATTTAAAATCTAATCACAATATGACTGAGATTTGTCCCCTATGAATTAAATAACAAAATGAAACAAAGTGGAAGATGAAAGAACTTTTAAATTCAGAAATATTAATTACAGTTTTACTTTTTACATGTGAAGATTTCCAAAGTGAGGCTTATAACATCACCAAGCTTCACTTGGATGGTGGCTAGACAGAAGCAAGAAAAATAAATGCATAAAACTAGTGTTAAACATGTAAGAAAAATGCATATTTTACATATAAGTATAATCCAGCATATATAAACTATATACATGTATATACAATGTATATACATATATAATAGTACTATGTGTATATATGAATATACACATGATTGCCCAATTGCACATGTGTTATTGCTCCTATTACTTTAAAGGCCTATAATTGAGTCAGTAGAACACTTAAATGGTGAATTTAGTGATATTTATGTTCTGTTTACCTGAATTTTCATAGTTGATGATATTGAGCTAAGTATAAGCTATAAACGTCTAAGTTTAGGGTAAACTAGCTCAAGTCATTTAAGATGGCCTGACCTTTTATTATCATTTCCTCTCACAGCATCTTGACTTATCATTGTAAATATAGGCCTCACATTTTGTGAGGCATTTTATTAATGTTCCCTTTGTCATTGCCATTTCACAAAAAGTGCTACATTTTTCAGCTTAGACCACACAATTTCAAAAAGTCAGGGCTGTACAAATAATAGATCTACATTAAATGAATCAAAATGATATTTTAGATGGCTAAAAAGGTCTTCTGCTTCATAATTGTAATATGGGTTTTCATAATCCAAAATACAAATACTGCTTTGTTCAGATATCAAAGTTTAAAACTAAAATTCCCAGGTAAGAAAATAAAATTTCAAACTCAGTCATTAAAACTTTTCCTTGTGATTCTCTCTCTGAACTTTTATTAAAAATATGGTATTCATCATACTTATTTTTAAAGTATTTTGCAATTAGATGAAATAATATGTCTTTCTAAATAAAAATATAAAAGCATCCACACAAATAATACCACAAAATTATATATAACATATTAAAGCTATTGCTGAATTAAACTAATAGTTCATTTGCAATTATTTTTCACTAAACATGTTGAAGGGACATTACAATATATTTGTTACTTCCAAATATTATTACTAGAATTAGTAATAAAAATAGCAATGAATAATGGCAAATATCTGTCCACTCTGGATCTGTTTCATTAGCAGAACATTGCTAGAAAGTGAATTAGTTATCTATTTTTTTCTTAAAAATAAATATTTTACTGCAGCAGAAGCATAAAGCAGATGCTAATCTGTACCTATATTAATATCCATGGTACTTTATAGAATCATATCTGGTATTATAATTTAAAGCCAACTTAATTGATATTAATACAAAATTAAAACAAGTGACCTATCCAGGGGGTAGAAAAGTCCATGGAAGAAAAAAAAATTCTCTCAAATACAAAATTCCGTTCTCATATAAATTTATTTCCACTAAATAAATAAATGTATTTTTATTCAAGGGTGAAATTACTACCTATATTTAAGACAAGACAGTCTCACTTTCTGTATTTGATAAATAAAATATAAACATTATAATTAGCAAGTTATATCATAATTTAATATAGTTTATGGAGCCTCATTTTTCAAACGTTGAAAGCACCAGGGTCTCTAGGAATTATACTTTCACCTGGTTTGTATAATATGCCTGTTATGGATATGAGCATGTTTATTAAGTAAATACCAGAAGCATCTAGCTTTCCACTCTTATGTATGCTTTTCTCCTATTCAAAATATTTGATTGGATGAAATGGGGATATGATGAAACACTAATTTACAGGGACTCCATAAATTGAGTTTTAAAACACTTTTAAGGAATAGCACTGGCTCCCGTGAAGAAGAAAGAGAAGGATAAGAAGAAGAGGAGGAGGAGGACGAGGAGGAAGAAGAAATAAGCAAGGTGAGTTAACTAGAAAAAGATAACCTATAGGAAAGTTAAAACAAAAAAGAAGAAGAAGAAGAAAAAGAAATGACCTATTTAATAGTGGTCCTGACTCTATTGAATAATAATTTTGTTTCTCTTGTATAAGAATTTTGTTTCAATATTGTGCATGAATAAATAATCATTTATGTTCAAGGGCTTTTTGTTCATTTCTAAACTAAGTCCAAAACGTACTTCCAATAACAGAGGGCAAAAGTTGTAGACACAACATATCAAATGCAAGGTAGTCCTGAAAGTTTCACTTATAATTGAAATACTTGTGATTTGTCTTTGTATGCATATGTATATTAGAAGCTATATGTAATTAATTAAGAGTTATATCAGTAAGTTCTAGAAATTTGTAGGACGTTTAAAAAAAAAAAAATACAATGCCCTCCTATTGTTTCTTCCACACAGCTTTAGAAGCTGTTGTTATCACTCATTTTTGTGAGAAAAAAAAATGATGTAAGGCATCAGTGACTTATGACGAATTACATTCAACACATAATGATAATTTTTACCAAGGGCAGGTTGAGGAAACTAGGTGAAAACATTGGCCTCACTGCACAATTCTGTGCCTACAGAATCTGTGGATCTTTGAAGCTCTGCTGCCCTCTACTGGCCTAATGGGATAAGTGCCAGCTTCAAAGCGCTCCGGTTGCATTTTAGCAAGACTGGCATCTTAAAAATCCAATTTTCTTTGGTTTCACTCACATGTAAATGGATCATAACTTGAACTATTGTCAAGTTAATTTTTCAACATCATTTTAATGTCATACAGAAAGGAAAATTCATTCAGCATCTTCTGTCTTACTTCAAGCCATCCTGGGGCCATTTGCTGAAAGTGGTTGGGAAAAACAATGGTCAAACAAAACAGTGACAACTTTCACAAATAATACTATTTTGACAGTCCACTCAGCTTCAAGGCCTTTGATTTTGATTTAGTTGTGTATATGTGTAAATAGGAATGGGTGGGTGAAGGCGTATGTGTAATTTTAGTGCATATTTTATAAAGAATAGCAATTTCACTTTCCTTTTTCCTTATGTCATTTAGTATCTTAAGATGCTTGGATCCTTGATTACTTGTCCTGAGTAATCCTGTATTTCTTCACAATCTAGCTGCTTTATTTTCTCCCAATTGCATCCTGACTAAGAGACAGTGCCTCATCAGGTTAATAAGTTTGAAATTCACCGTCAAAGAAAAAGAAGTGAACTATAAATCAGATTTTGATAAGTACCAATTGTATCCTGGGTTGGGATAGGGATGATGGATTTTAAAATTTGTCAACATCACAGTGCATCAAACTTGTTAATAAATTAGCGTTCAGTATAACATGTAAAAGAAATAATTATTTTTAAATGGGAGCACAAAAGGCATGGCATAGCTGAAATTTAAGGTTCAAGCTTTGTATCTTCTATATATAATGTATTATGTTTTTCAAAAACTTTTTATTAGGAAAGCTATACCAGACGCATAATCACTATACAATGATTAAACATTACCTTTACAATTTATAATCACTGAAATTACAGAATAAATATATGCACATTTCTTTTGAATCTTTGTGTGTGAGAGAGAAAACATTAAAAGTGCTTCCTACAAAGCTGTTAGTGATATATACCCAGTTGCTTTTTATTTTTTAATATTATTTATATATGTATATATATATATATATAAGAAAGTGCAGATGTTCTCCAAAAAATCTTGGCATCAGGATGAAATGTCACAAAGAGGGTGCTCAACCCTAGGTGTGTATCTCCAGCTGTTAAACCACCAGGCCTTTACTTCAGTAGGATCCAGCTTCGAATGTGACTTTCCCCAGGGTGGTAGGAGAGATGCTGTGAGCTGTACACTACAAGTGAAGGGCAGGTAGAGCTATGGAGAGGAGAGAAATGGATCAAACCTGAACTAAGTGGATTGGTTTGTGTGTGACTGTGTTTGTGTGTGTGTGTGTGTGTGTATGTGTGTATACCTGCACCAAATGCAGGTTTAGGGACCTAACCATATGCAGGGATTTGTGGTTTGCGAATGGGTATGAGAGACAAGAGAGTGAGTGAGAACATTCGAGCAAGACCCGCCCCCTCCCTCCCCGTCTTGCAGTTTTCAGGCATGCAGCAAACTGCATTGTTAATACATGTACAGAATCTGTGCCATGATGAGAAGAGGAAAGAAAGCCACAAATGTCAACCCCCCTCCCTTTCAAATGAAGCTACAATAAAAGGGAAAAAAAAGTTACTGAAAATAAAAAGACACATTGAATTTTACTTAATTAGGATCAATACAACGACCCCCAATATACCTTATACATGGCACAGTCAAAGTCTCAAGTTTCAATATAAAAAAATAATGATAACATTTGCTGGCAAAAGTCTGCGAAGGCACTTCATTGATTAATGATCTGAGTATGGCCCTTCCTCCAAATCACATCTGAGAGGGGAGAGCATACATCTGTATTCTCTAGTTATCATGCGGTTTCAGTTCTCTTCAGGGCGGGGAAGATTGTGAGGATGGAGTTATTGGGACAAGTGTAAAAGGAGAAAGGGACATATTTCTTTTATTTTCCTTTTTTCTTTTGTGGAAAGAAAAAAAAAAAAAGCACTAATTTATTTTCTTCTTTCTGTTAGAACCTGTAGGTTGTTTTCTCCAGGACTTCGAGGTAATCTGGCTTGGTTTGAAGTTTGGCCCTTAACTCGAGGTAATCACTTTTTTGGGTTTGGTGGTCTGTGAAGCCCTTTCCGGCTGAGAAGAGAAGGGTTTCTTTAAGCCTGGCGTCCTGCTGTAAGTCTGGGTATTGCATGCCAGGGGGGTGGACGTGTAGTTCCTTTAATTTGGGCACTGTGCCGTAGAGACAGTCCACAAATCCCACTGTGCAGGGGGCGGGCTGTGGCCTCTCACGGTCAAGCAGCATACTGCCACCGCCACAGCCTCCCCCAGGAGGAAAGAGCACCACCCCGCCGTTCTTCTCATGGTGGCGGAACCCAGCCAAGTCTCCCCCAGTTCCCCCAACCACCCCTGAGACCCCACCAGCTGCTGAGTGGTGAGGGTGAGGGTGATGGTGATTCACCGTCACTATGGTGTTGAGCTGGGAGCTGGAAACTGCTAGGGCCCATTCCTTCTCTTTTTCCAGCAAGGTCCGGTAGTTGCTGTGGTTCTCCTTGGGTGTTTCAGCAAACTGCTCACTTCCTAGGAGAACCTCACCCATTCCTGGAGGTTGTGTCCCCCCAGGACCTCCACGTTCTGCACCCCCTGTCTCCTGGACAGCTGAAACAGCCACTTCCTCCTCCTCTCGAGGCTTGTAGATAGGGTTGTTGCACATCTGGGTCACTGGGTGGGGGATGTACTCATACACATGGCCCACAGGAGGAGCCTTCTCTGGGGAGGAAAGGGTGGGCCGGCCTCCACTCCCACTTCCACCACCACCACCTCCCCCATCCTCAAACAGCCGGTGGCATTGCATCTGGATGCCAGTAAGGTCCACACCTTCTTGTCGCTTGCTCCTAAAGGGCAGCTTCTTGCGACGCCTTCGGAGCACGTAGGCAAAGAGGCCTGCAGCAACGAAGACTGCTGAAAAAAACAGAACTAGCAGACTAAGAATCAACACAGAAAGTGGCACAGGACCCCCAGGGGGAGAGAACTCATACGGTGATTCGCTTGTTGGTCCCCCAACAAAGTGAGAATCTCCAGGCTGGGCTGGGGATGCTCCATCTGGTGCAATATGCAGCATCTCTGGGCACAGGACTTCCAGCTCAATAGTACGCACATCACGGTGTGTGAGGTTTTCGGGGCTTCTACAAAGCACATCACCTACCACACTGACTGAGCTGATGGTTTCAATCCACTGTTTAAAGGGGACCAGATCACAAGTGCAGTCCCAAGGATTCTCATTGAGGTCTATCTGGACAATAGCATTCAAGTGTTCCAGGACACCAGCCACAGGAAGGTAGAGGAAGTAGTTCTTCCTCAAGTTGAGCCGAGCCAGGGATGTGCCTGCAAAGGCATCTGTTGGCAAGGTCCTCAGCAAGTTATTGTTGAGGAACAGCAGCTTCAAGTTGGGCATGAGGCTAAAGGCTGCAGGCTGGATTTCCCGGATAACATTGAACTCAAAGTACAAGTAGTGCAAACTTTGTAGCCCGCGGAACATGCCCGGTGTCAGCTTCTCTATATCGTTGCCATTGAGAAAGAGGCTCTTTAGGTTGGGCAGGTTGATGAAGGCCCCATCCTGGACATAAGAAATACGATTGTTCCCCAGATGCAGGAGATCCAAAGAAGAAAAATTCCAGAAATCAGAACGGTATATTTTCTGAATCAGATTGCTACTCAGGTACAGTTTCTTGGCATTCAGTGGCCTTGGAAGAAGTTCAGAAATGTTATTAAATCCTCTCTCTTTGCAGTTGACAGTCAAGCCAAGGTCATTGATATGCAAATTACAGGTACACCCAGTAGGGCATATAATGGGAATTGGTGGTCTGGTCTGATAAGGAGCAATAGGAGGTTGGTTTGGACCAGGGTATAAAGCCTGGGATGTAGAGGGTGGTCTTGGTGTCCGGGGCTGCTTGGTGGGCTTAGGCTGTTTGTTTGAAGACTTGTATTCAACAGAAGAAGCAGTAAAATGGACAGAGGACAACATTGAGGAAGGTTTAGTTGGCCATGCATTCTCCTTGCTTGATGACAAGTGAGGAATCCCCAAACTAGCCTCCACCTCAGAGTCAGACAACAAAGGACAGAGTTCTGTCTTCCTGATTTCTCGAAGGTCCTTTCCATGGAAATGGAATGGTGTCTCACAGGTGATGTCTCCCACCAGGGCAGTGTAAGGAATGCGTTCCAGCCAACTCTTCAGTTGTACAATCTCACATGTACAGTTCCATGGATTTTCTTCTAGCTGGAGCTCCATCAGGCTCCTGCCAATGTGATCTAGCATTCCTCGGTAAAAAAGAACTTTTAACCTGTTTCCACGCAGGTCCAGGTGGGTTAAGGAGACAGCCTTAAATAAATTGGTTGGAAGCATGGGGATGAGATTATCATTTAAAATCAGAACCCTTAATTTGCTTAGGTTCCGAAAGGCCCCACTCTCAATGCGCTTAATAACATTGTAATCTGCCTGCAGATATTCCAAACTTTCCAGGCCAAGGAAGGTGTCGTTTCTGAAGACATCTAGTTTGTTCTCGTGTAGATACAGCCTCTTTAAAATCTTAAGACCATTGAAAGCTCCCATTTGAATGTCCTGCAAAGCATTGTTCCCAAGGTTAATGGACACAGCATTATTCAGATGAAGAAAACTGTTGGTGTATAATTTCCTCATCGAATTCCTCTGCAGATACAGTTTAAAAGGTCTTGACCAGTACTCAGTAATCTGACTAATATTTGTAAATCCTTTACTGTCACAATGTATATGAAAAAGGCTTTCTTTAACTTCACAGTAACATGGATCAAAACAGGGCTCATCTATTTCCTCTGAGTCCTCTATCAGGGGAATCGGGGTAGTCCATCCTAGAGCAATTGTGCTTAGAAGAATTATCCACAGCATCCTCCCTCTGTGAAGCATCTCAGCTATGGAATGTTTCATCATTCGTAGTTGATTACAAAACTGCAACAGAAATAAAGATGCAGATTTTTAGCTTTTAGTCATATGCACTATTTTAATTGACTCCTACATGTGGGGCTATTTAAAAGCGATATAAAAACTTTAGCAGTTATTGAACTGACAATCAAAATGAGCCAGAAACATGCTTAACGTTAGAATGTGCCCTATATTTTAAGCTTGGGAAACTTTGATATATTGAAACACGCAGTGACATTTTCCTGAACTAAGCCATACTTGGTAAATGGCATGTCACATGAACAAAAGCAGCTTGCATTGCCTCTCATGGAACACAACAAAACTGGAATACTGTGCGGCCTTTTTAGACGTGGGCAGATTCAGCAATCATGGCAATAATTTACCCATTAAACTTGTTTTCCTGCTAAAACTCATTGACATCAAAAATATCCATTATAAATTAGATTACAACTCTGATGGAAAAATGTGTTCTTTAATTATATGTTTCTATTACAAAAACATGACTTATCCTAAAGTTATTAAAGAGAATGATAAAGCATGAGCCGGTTGTCCAGAATCAGATGTTGAGATGTATAAGATGATTGGTATCGCAGGAAAACTTAAGATTTTTTTTAAGAAGCTATCAAAACATGTTTAACTACAGTATGTGGTCAGTAACATATACTTCCCACGCCCCCTTTTGCCCAAGCATAAATTATTGGCATCTCCTTCCATTGAATATGCAACTTCTATAGACTTTATCCTTTGTCTGTTTAAAGTGTTGAGCAGTGATTAGTCCTTCTAAAGAACATACCCATGCAATTGTCAGAGCTAAAGATAGTGACATCTAAAGGTTGCTAAGCCTGGGAGTGTCTGAATTAAAACATTTGCAGAGCTTAGTTTGGAATGTGTGTATGTGCCTTCAAGATCAACTGAGGAACCCTAAAAAGCTGGAAGGGCTGATGATGGGATAGAGAAGAGGTGGGTAGTTAAAGGCCAGAGAGGGTGGAAACGTCAATTCTTACCTGCTCATAAATGATTGACCACATGAAATACATTTAAAAAAAAAAAAAAGACATCATTCTTTTCCAATCACAAGAAACATATGCAGTGCACTATTCTAAAAACATACAGAGCCTTCATCCATGGCTTCTTTGCCTAATATTATCACTATATGAAAGTGTATACATAAATAAACTATAATAATGCAGTTTTATTAGATTGTCCTTCCTGTTTCACTGAAATACCAATCAAAATTGAATAACTGATTTTAATCAATAAAAATAAATCAGAGTTTCAAGCATGTATTTTATCCCCACGCATAGATACATACATCAAGGAAATATTTTAACTTGAAACACAGTGATATAATTGATAGGGAGAGTGAAAAAAAAATTATCTTCGCATTCAGCTTGCATATAATGTACACAGCTGTAAGGAAAAGAAAAACTGTGAGAAAGCAAAGAGAAATCTGCCTCAGGCATGCAATACTCAATTTTTAGAAACAATTAAATGAAAAAGAGAAGGCAGATGAGGCTACATTGCAGTACCAGTTAGTCTTCCCTGTCTCTCTTATAAAATATTAAAATCTATTTAAGTTCTTTTGTCTTCACCATTCTTTTCTTAATTTTTTTTTTCTTGTTTTTCACAACCCTGAGGTTTAGGAAGCACAAGCTCCAGATGTCTTTGACTTACCTATTTTGCAGGAGATTTTTTTTTTTTTAAGCAATGAATATTTAAAAGAAAAAAAAAAGCAAAACCTTGACTTTAAGGATTCTTTCTCGTTCCTTCACCCTCCCTTCCTCTTGCTGAAGCTGAAGCAAAAGGGGATGGGGGGTGGGGGTGGGGGGCTGAAGGGGAAAAAAAGCGGAAAAAAAAAAGCAAGCTTGAGACGTGCTGAGAATGCAATGGGCTCTTCAATGGGCTCCTTTAGGATGCAGAACTGCCTCTTGGCACACTCAGTAGAGGAGGGAGGAGAAGGGGCTGCAGCAGGCTTCCAGCTCCGTGGCCGCTGCTATTGCCTTTGCTGCTGCCGCTGCTGCCGCCGCGGTGGCTGCTATCCCTGGGTACCGGCAGCACATCATTGGGCACTGGGAGGAAGGGCGGGAGGAAGGCAGAGAGGAAGGAAGGCTCAATCACAGTGCAGAATCTCGGACTTCTCTCGCGCTGTCTTTTTTTTTTTAATATGTGCTGTAACCCTGGATCCGGCTTCCCACGTCATGAAAACGAGCTCCAAGAAAGGGAACGCGCTTAGCATGGGGTCGGGAGCGAGCACTAGGAAGCCCTGACTGTACCGTCTCTCTCTCTCTCTCTCTCTCTCTCTCTCTCTCTCTCTCTCTCTCTCTGTCTCTCTCTCTGAAATGGTTTGCTCATCTAGTTCTCAAACCTCCTCTCTGTAGTGCAGACGCTTTGGAAAGTGAAACTATCCTTCGGAACTGTCCTTTCACAGCACAGACATTGGAAAACTAGGATGAGGAATAAATCCAGGTCCCAAAGCAGAAAATCTGAATTTGGCTGATTCTGTCTAGGTGTCCCAAATAAGAGCTTGAATAACTTGGACAGAGTTTCTCCTGCATTTTGTTTCGATCCTTTTGCACCAGAAATCCTTTTGTTGTGCTATAGCTCAAAGTCTTCGATTTTCCTTGGATTCTACCACCATGTGCTTTCTTCTACTTTTTTTTTTTAAAAACAGATACAAGCCAGTCCTCTGGAAGTAAATGAAGACCACTTGAATAGCATTGGTAAATTTCACATTCTTCCACCAGGAAATACCTGCAGGTATAGGGGATGGAATTTCAGGATTTGGACTTTTTCTTCTTCTTTATTTTCCTTCCTCCTTTCTTTCATTTTCTTTTCTTCTTTCCTCCTTTCTTTCATTTTTCTTTCTTAATATTTTTCCAAGATTTTTTTAGGAAGGGGATAGCTAATAAGGAGCAGTGGGATTATGGGTGATTGAAGGGAGATGTTTCAATGTAGTGAGGCCACTGGATCATAGTTCACAAAAACCCTCTAGAAGGAGTTTTTAAAGGCTCAAGTGGCAGTTCTACCTGCTGGGAGGAAATGCAGCTTAGTGGAGAAACTGGGGAGACCCAAGCGTGCAGCAGAGGATTCTAGTTAGCTAGAAATGGTGTTATCTGTGGATGCATTCATCACCCCCCCCAACACACACACACACACACACACACACACACACACACACACGCACACACACACACACACCCCAATCCTGTCATGGACTCACAGGTTGGGGGAAGAGAGAGAGTTTTGGTCTGAAGAACTAACCTTAATTGCCCAAGGGCTCAAAGTTAGTAGGTAGAGATGGCTTTCCCTTAAAATACTCTTTACAGAGCCAAGTACAAAGAAAAGTATAGTTTATGTATAAATGTCTTTCCACTCTAAAATAAAAAAAAAATCTAACTCAACAAAAGTCAGTCATAAAAATATACATGATATTTTGCATTTAAAATGATCGCACATGTTTCCTGTGCCCCACAGTAGTTAAGATTGGAAACAGCAATCAGAAACTAAGCAAGCAGGCTGGCAGAATTCTCTAACATTCTACACCCTTAATATTCCGGACCCACCCTGTTCTCGGTTAGGTCTAAGTGGAGGAGAAGCAAACCAACACAGACTGCCTGAGTTCGGAATCAGAGCAATTCAATCTCGCTCCCCAGCTGCCAGTTCCCCCCCTCCCCCAGCACCTAAGGTGCCCAATGTGCAGAGGCGGTGACTGTTTCTCGGATCTTATCGGAACCCAAGATTTGATGGAATGAATGGGTAACCAGGAGGTGCCCTGAGCTTCCCGGTGTTGGTAAATGCTCTTTCCTTTTTGCAATCAAGTCTCCGTCCTCCCTTGAACTACAACCCTGCAAATTCTGGACACTGATCATGCCCTAAGGCTATTTCACTGTTTTCCTTTCTTTTATATCAGGATAACGTGTCTAAAAGATAGGGAGGGCTCCAAAAGTTAGGGAATGTGGACTCTTGAGGCCCCGTTTTCTTATGCGTCCTGCTGCGAGCGCCCGCACCATTTGTCCAGAGGGAGGACAAGAAGCCCTTTCTCCCCAGTGTGCCCCTTTCCTACCTCCCCCTCCTCATTGCCGGATCTTCAAGCTCACTAATCTCTCCAGATCTAATGCTAAATATTCCAATATGGAAGCAAAACGATCCCCCTAGAACATATAATTAAAATGCTGCATCATTCATTTTCTGAAAAGATTTGAGCCTTCTGTAGATTCTTTTCTATTCTGCTGTCGCCAGGCGAAGAACACAATGGGTCTGTTTAGATATGAAATAAAATAAAATAAAATAAAAGCTCAAACCTTTTCCCTTCTATCTCTTAGGATAGATACAACCGAGCGATTCACGGGGGGAGGGGTCCTTTGATCAGCCACCTGGCCTATTTGGAGCAGAGTTACAATTTCCTCCCCCCACCCCCCCGAGGGATCCGAGGGTACCTTAGGCTCCAGTACCCCTTCTTTCATCATCCACCGTAAACCTAACTGATCCCGTTTTAGAATGCAACAAATTCCTAGCACCTGTGAACGTATAGAAGACACTACTGCCAAAGTCTATGTTTTCTACCGTGCACATCCTACACACAAGACATAATGATTTCATTTAGGCAAAGTAGGAAAGGATGGCAGAGAGTACCTATAGGTGCAGAGCGCTCAGGATCTCCGAGGTTTGCTCCGAGGGGCTTCCCAGCGGGAGGGGCAAACTCTCTGGGAGGTTCAATTGTATCCTTCATACTGTAGCCTTGTATTTTCTCCTCTTCCGGCCACCAACTTTCAGAAAGGCTACCAAGTCACAATCGAAATCCTTTAAAATATTTCCACCTCTGAGACTTGCAAGGAAATGGTCGCTGCATACCAATGGGAGAGCGGGGCGCACACCTAGCGTGGCGATGCCAGTGACCTGGAGCCCACAAACACAGCTCCGTACGCCCTCGATGGCAAGCAGGATACGTGAGTGTCCCAGGACTGGAGTCCTTTGATTTTAAATCTCGGTGCTCTTGATTCAATGGTGAGCTTCGCTGTTCCAGAGAACCCGGGTTTGTTCTCTGGATTTCTGTCTTCCTGAAAGATTGTCACTCACAGCGCAATTCCTGCCCAAGGCCTCCTTCAATTCGAGATGAAACTAGCCCTTTTCTTTCCCGAGTGTCTTTGCTCTTTGCCCTTTGGATGGGTGGGAGTGGGGGTGGGTGGTGTGTAGATGAGAGAAGAAAGGGGTGGGGAAAGGCGGAAAGGAGGCAGGAAGGGGGCGACTAGATCTCGGATCCCAGCATTGGTCAGACACTGAAGGGGGGTTGGGGGGAGATACAAATACAACAGTATGGCTGTACACACCAAATCCGATTTGGATTTGGGAAATCTCAGGCAAAGCACGAAGGCGAAGCGATCCCGTTGGCACAGTGTGTCCCCTGACAGCTCACCATTCAAGAACCCTTACTTCTCCAGCAGGAGAAGGAAGCGCGGTGGGCAGAGGAGGGGACCGCCGAACGTTTCAGGCCAAGGAGACACAGCGGCAGCGGCGACGGCATCTTTTCAGACTGACCTGCTTTAAAAGTGCCACTTTAATGGCCTAGGAAATAACTAAATTCGGATTACACGTTACTTACCAACGTCTGCTCCTAAACTGGGAGCGCCTGGTCGGGTATTGGGAGGCAATATAGGGAACGCAGGGCTGGAACACAAATGCAAATCCATCAGCCGCCCCCAAATCGCGCACCGAGGGAGCGGCGCTCCGGAGCCCCCAGATCAGCCCATCGCCTGAGCCTCCGCCAGCTTGTTCCCCCCGCACCCCCGGCCCCTCCTCCGCGCCAACTGTGTAAATCAGCCGCCGCAGTCCTCTCGCCGCGCATCGCAGGCAAATCCCTGCTTAGGAAGCAAGGAAGCAAGTGATATTTCTCTCTCTCTCTCTCTCTCTCTCTCTCTCTCTCTCTCTCTCTCTCTCCCTCTTCCTCTCTCTTTCTCTCTACCTCTCCCTCTCCCTCCTCTCTACCTCCTCTTTCTCTCTCCCCCTCCCCCTTTGTCCCCTGTTTATCGGTCGCAATCTGGCAGCTCTACAAAGAGAAACCCTGTCAGAAAGTCTGCATTCTGTAACCGTGGATTGATTTTAACTTTTGCAAACGAGAGATGGCTGTTTGGAAAATTACAGCCCAAACTGGAAAGGGCGGGTGGGGTGGGGGGGGTGCTGTGATCAAATTAAGAACATCTGAGCTGTATGGGTGGGCGGTATCGCTGAACGCCTCCGAGGAGCCATTCTAAGTGATTTGCAGTAATGCCCAACCTTCATGAAACATAGGTGACAATTTCAAAGTACATATTTCCTCATCTGTTTACACTTGCTGGGGGAGAGCGGAGCGGTGGAGATAAAACTGTAGGGTGAGGGGAGATGCGTGTGTGGGGCATTTGTTGGAGAGATGTAGATATCATTTCGTGACAAATTAGAAAAAGGACATTGGAACAATGATTGCACCTATGGTAAAGTACTACTATGTTACAAAGGCGATCATTACCCCCACTGCAGTCATACTAATGCAGTCATTTAATGCTCCATTCAATCTGCAGTGTAAACCAACGCAGTTCTTTTTAATAGATCCCTTTCATCAGCAACTGTGTTGGAGAAAGGGCGGCATTCCACTAACTCCCAAGCTGAACAGGAGGTATTCTGGGGGAATCATCTCTGTGTCTCTTGCCATTCCTTCCTGAAGTGAATACAGTACATTGCCCAAGAGAGATGAAATTGCGTATCTATTATAACTGTAGACCTAAAGTGAGCTTGACCCTATTTTTAAAAGCTTTCAAAGGAATAGCTAAACTCTAGCTCACCCCTCTTAAAAAAAAAAAAAAAAAAAAAGTGCTCTTAATGTATATATGGCAGCCTTTGAGGGACAATCCTGGAGACATGATTTTATCCTTTACTTTGTGACTTTTCTATGTAATTTATACCAATGCTAGTCTTTATTATAGTCATATAATATCACAATTGATCGTCCCAACAGATGGTCCACAGTCTATTTTATATCCATACAAATTCAGCTATGGTAACTGTCTGTGTTGGTTATTCCTGAAGAGTGAGTTTAGATTGACACAGTTACATTGTTTCAGTTTGCTCTTCAAAATGCTCAGAATTCTTTAAATTTATTAAGATTAGTAAAGTATCTAGAGAGACCAGACACTGATGGAAGCATCATGATATCAAAATCTACTTTTTTAAATATAGCATTTCAAATCTACTGGCATGAATTCCAAATCTTCCTTCAATGTTTTCTAGGATAATATCTTCAGTGTGAATTTTGCATATGTGAAGACATGGAAGTGGAAAGAATGTTTGTCATAGGTGTTTTACTTACTATATCTCCAAACTGGATTTTAAAGAAGTCTATCCAGGAAAGGTTGCCAAAGAACTTTATCCCTACAACAGATTGGTCCGATTTATTATATTTCAGTAGGCTGATGAATCACGGAGATGTTTCTGGCCTTTTCAGGTGGTTGCTCAATTTGAGGCAAATCGCTCTTGGGTACAGCATATTCTATGTAGGCAAGTGTGAAATCACACACACACACACACACACACACACACACACACCTTTAGCCTCAAGGCTGGGGGACATTAGAGAAACTCTAGAGGGAATCAGGCAACATCCTTCCTAAAATAGTTGAATCTCTTTAACTTTTTGGAGTCATTTTCATTTCAATTTTCAAGATTATTTGTTGATGAGAAAACCCTGAATATATTACTACATTTATTCTGAGCAGATGATGGTATAACCTGAAGGAACTAGAGAACTACAGAAAATTATATACCTTTCTAGCTAGTTTGTTCACATTAAAAATGAGCTCTTTCAACACAAACATTCAGGCCAGATAGAAAAGGTAGGGGTAAGTGATTGTGATGGATCTTTGAATCTGTGTTGTGACTTTTAAGTATTTTCTGTAAAGATATTTGTCAATATGACCATAGTTTATTTAATAAAAGATCACATACATTATGGAAAGGAATAACTTTCATTTAAAAACTTTTTTATTGATAATCCATTAACAGGCAAAAGAAAAACATAAAGTATCACAAAGGATGCAATCTTCAGTCCAACAAAAAAATGTTTATAGTGCTGATTGGCACATATTTTGAAGTTATAAAGACATTATAATATTTCAAATAGATTTCTTTTGGCTATTCTATCATTTTCCAGAAGGGAAAAATAGTATTAAAATTACTTCATTTGGCAATTTTTAAATCTAAAGTACTGCACTCACTCTGATGTTTTAAATAAAACCAATTAATAAATCTTTTAAAAAATTTAACAGTACTTGAAGTTCTACTAGAGAACTGTTGGTTGTGTGATAGAGTATTCACACAAGAAAGTTTCAAACAATAAATGCATTCATCCATGATTATGTGCAGCTTACCTAGATCTTCTACATATTGTACTCATCTCTTTTGAAATATTCTACACATATTCATGAAGCCTACTATTCTTTATCCTTTTGAAATATTTTTAGACCAACAAACTACATGTTTGACATTCAGAAAAAAAGCTAACTTTGTCCTTATTTGATTAACTTTTGATATACCATCACTGAACTAAATGAAAGTACAGTTAAGCCCAGTTTTGTGTTAATATAACTTATGAAATTTCAGCAGGCAAAAATATGGTAAAACAGAAATTAGTGTTCTTTGTTTTGTTTGGGAAGAGTTAACATTAATAAAAGAATTCAAAGACTTAAACAATTCAGACTGAGGACTATGTAACTTACAGAAATGTTTGCATAGATTTTCCTATAGTTCCATGGTTAAAACAATTTTGAAATATTTTATGCAATAAAAATTGCAAAGCAATGGATAACTTTTTTCTTTAAAGAAAAAAATTAGTAAAAATTTAGTGACTCAGCATAGATTTGGAGCTATAGGTGTTCTATTATTTTAATTAACAAGTTAAAAATATGAATATGGAATTGTAAGACATTCAATTAGATGTTCATCTTTTATATCTTTTCACTCAGCATTTCAGGATACTTTATAGGTATCCACTAAATGAAATCTCAGCTTATTTTCACAGTAAACAAGAGATTGATTGATTTTTGCAGTACTGCGAACTCAGGAATGCTTTACTCCTTACCTATATCCCCAGTTATTTTTATTTTAAATCTTGAGACAGTGTCTCACTAAGTTGTTGAGGGTGGCCTCGAATTTATATCCTTATGCCTTAGCTTCCCAAGTCTCTGGCATTACAGGTATCTGTCAATGTGCCCAGATAAATGAGAGTTTTTTTTTTTTTCTTTAAACTCTAAGTTTAATTGAACTAATTTAGGATACTAGAATTAATCTATCCAATATCAACAAAGCCTTTAAAATTTTTATTTGTAGCCTGGATTAAGCATAGAAAGTTATTATATTATTTTAAAAGGAAGTTTTCAAAATTATTTTCCTTTAGTAAGTTGTAGATGCCAAAGTGTATATCTGTACAATCAAAGTCACCTTATAGGTGGAAATTCAGAAGTAGTCTTCAAAAGATGAGTTAGGAATAGAGAAGTGAATTAAATTCACATGAAAACTGAAGTCATGAAACTCTGAAATTTATGATATTAGAGTGACAAAAATGTTACAGAACATTATAGTTTTTGTTCATTTTTTTTTTTTAATGTGGTGCTGGGGATTGAACCCAGTGCCTCATGCTTGCTAGGCAAGTGCTCTACCACTGAACCATGACTGCAGCCCCAGAATATCAAGTATTTGAAGTGTTTTAGCTTTCATGGAAATTCTGAACACATTTAAACTTCTCTATGTGTAATTTTAACCTACTAATTTAAAGCCAACTATACATCATAAAGGAATAGTACTTGTATCAGCAAAAGAGGTTTGAGAATCTGAACCACACAAATAGATGAGTATTAAGTAAACAACAACAAAAAAATCCCTTGACTCTTGAGTTTTTATTATTAAAAACTTTATCCATTAAAATTCTGAGAATGTGTAAAATGAATATTTTTAAATGAGACTTATTTTAATATCAAATATAAAATCTAATAGCGCACAATGGCGCAGGCCTGTAATCCCAGCGGCCCAGGAGGCTAAGATAGGAGGATTGCGAGTTCAAAGCCAGCCTCAGCAAAAGCAAGGTGCTAAGCAACTCAGTGAGACCCTTTCTCTAAATAA